ACCTCACCTTTCGCCTCGCCCTCCCCGCGTTTGAGACCGTTCCGGCGTGGATGAAACTCGGCGGCCGCGGCCCGGCGGAGAGGGAGAATTTTGCGCGCATGGCGGAGGCCGAGCCTCGCATGCGGGCCTACCTCGCACGGCATTCCCCCATCGCGTTGAGGGATTTTCACTACAAGCTTTACGAAAGCTCGGAGGACCCCGCGCGGTGGGAGGGGCTTCTGAAGCGGATCGCGCGGGAACCCATCGGCGACGCCAACCACTCCCCTCCCCTCCACCTCGTCACCTGGTGAACGTGGGAATCCATGTTTTGATGGATGGAGGAAGGGGGGAGGGGGGGAATCTCGTCGTGGGGTTTTGTTTCTCGAAGGATTTTTTTTCGGGGGAGACTTCTCACTCCATGACCTCCTCCGTTTGATCAGGTGTCGTCATCTAAGGGGTGAAAAGGAGAACCACAGAGGGATCTTGAAAACGGAAATAAGGGAATCCATTGGTTATTGATGTGAACGTTTTCATACCTTGTGCGTAGAAAGGGGGAGGAATGAGGAGGAAAAGAAGGGGAGGTAAAGCTCAGCTTGAAGAGAGTGTGTTCGATGGCGGGGTAGCGGAGAGGTAGCGGAGCTCTCCAATTTGTTCAAACATACTTACTACCTGACCTATGAAGTGGGTTGGTGTCAAAAAAAAACAAATGAAAACTCACATAGATGTGGCCCTTGGCTTAATAAAGCCACACGTCACTCCTTTTTTAGATTGATAGTTTCAACTGATAAGGAGCGACGGACGACTTACTACAGTTTTTTTTCTTTAAAGGAAATCTACTGTCAAATATGGGAGAGACCTTTTTCAAGCACTAGCATTTTTTTTGGACAATATGGCCAATGCTCTAGAGATCGGGCCTATTTAATGGGCAAGGTCAAATGAAGCAACCACCAATTGGCTAAAGTTGAAGGTATTGAATGGAAAGTTTATGATGTAAAGAAACAAAAGCAAATAAGCACATATAAATCTGCCTCCAAACGTGTAAAAGTACACGTTTTCGAGATGTGCCACCACTTCTCAGGTTGTTGGTCTAGATTTTCCTCTTTTCACCACATGTTGAGCTCACGTGTGGTGAAATTAGATGCTGTGGTTATTTTCTGTCATATATTCATTTTATACCACGTAACTTAAAAAGTAGGTTTTTTTTTTTTGCCTGTTATGTATCTATGTAGGCTTGTGTAACTTTATATTTATATTGATATATACACTACTGTATATTATATTTAGTCTCTAATGTAAAGTGTCTCCTGATGAATTCGAGCTGTTTACCTCTACCGTACCCATTTATGTAATGCATGTTTGTGTGTATGTATTTATCGCAAGGGGACCATCTTTATACAAAAGGCTCTCAGAGTTGATGTTCATATTTTTTCTACCTTTTTTTTGTTTGCCTATACTTTTTCCCATGATCAACTTTTATGCGATTGTACTGAAGGGATTCCTGTTGACCAATTAGCATACATTTCTGGATGCACAAAAGACGTGTAAAGCGTGTAGCCCCTGCACTATGTTTGATTTTTGGACCCGTTTGACATGGAATTTCTCAATCTTTTTATTTCCTTAGTTCTCCCTGTGGAGTTCTTTTTTTTTTGTATATATATATATATATATATATATATATATATTAT